TTTAAATGATGCTCAGTATATTGAAGAGTATAATGCATATTTAATTAATAGATTGCTATTTACTAACAGTAAACTAACTATAAATGTAATGACACATGATGAATGTATACAAATATATATAAAGTTGACAATACCTTGATCAATGATCTACACATTTGGTGATCATTTGTGTGATCGAGATGTTTGAAAAACAGTTAAAGTCGCGCACGATTGGTGACCTCTGCATCAATTCCCCTGTGAGAGAATTGCTGTGTGATTGCACGACTTAAGGATTTGAATTCGTTTTTACATAGTAACTTAATATGAGGGTTAACAATAGGAATCAATCGTAGTGTAACTGGGAAGGAGTGATAGGGTATTGGAATGTTGTCACATCTCGAGGGAGAGAAGACTTGAGGTTGTTGTAGAGGAGGAGGAGGTAGTAGTGTTTGAGAGTGATCTTTTTGGAGTTGGTTGTGAAGATTGGTTGGTTGTTGAGTGTGAAGAACTTGAGGAAGGAGAGGTCGTTGGAGTGGAGTTGGAGAGGGTTGGTGTTGAATATTGGTGTTGGCATTTGTGTGACGGACTTTGAGGCATTGACGGTGAGCCAGGCCTTGAAGGTGAGTTGTTGGATGGATGAGAGTTGGCCGTAGGCTTGTGGGTCTGTCCATGGGAGGTTGGTTGCTTGGTTGAAAGAGATCTGTTCCTGAAGGTTGTGAAGCCATGCAGGGCCATATGGGAGTGAGTTGTGAGAGTTGAGGAAGTGGTCGAAGATGTATGCTTTCTGGGCGGTGTCTCTGAGTCCAATGTCGGGAAGGCCGAGGCCTCCAAACTTCATTGGTAGAAGACGTCTGAGTGGTTTCATCTTGGGTTGGAAGTAGTGATTGGGGGTGAAGTCTCTGTACGAGAAGATGAACCAGTTGATCATGTTGTTGAGCTTTCTGATGTCGTCCGAGTCTATAGGGTTGAGATATTGAAGGTAGGTGAGTTTGGGAGGTATGATTTGACGATGTTGGTGTTTGCTTTGATTGTTGATCCTCTCTGTTTCCAGAGAAGGAATGAGGAGGTGAGTTTGTCGATAGTGGCGTGAAGGTTGTTTGAGATGCCAGTGAGTGAGAATTAGTCCTTGGCATGACGGTAAACTGCAGCACTTACTTTGAAAGTCAAGCTTCCCTGACCCGAACTAGACCTCAAGTTGGAGTCCAAATTCGAAAGTGCGAAATCACAAGACAACACCAACTATCACTCCCCACAAAAATGCCCTAGGGTCGAAGTGAAAACATATCGAAAATGCAAATGCAATAAATCGAGAAGCCAGGAGTGTATATGCTCCTGTGTGAAATATAAAAAAAAAGTGAGTGAGAATTGATAGCCGAGGTATGTTTCAAGTTGGTCTTGTTGGATCTTGTGGAAGTTGAGTGAAGGTGGGAGGATGCTGTCAAAGAATGAGAAGTATGAGCACTTGGAGGCGT